TATCTCCCAGGGACCTGAGAGCACCTAGGGACCTTTCCAATTCCATATAAACTTGCAAAAATACTTTACTGGCTTCCAGAACTAGGTGTTCATGGGTGGGTGACTTTTTCCACACTTAACTCATGTTGGACTTGATCAATATTTAGCATTTCGGCAGTATTTAGGCTTTTAGAGTACAAAACTTAGCGGTGTCATTTGTATGGGTGAAGATGTTGCTGAATACCATGAAAATAGGAATTAGATTACATTCTGTATAAATGCTTTTCTTTCATTTTAAATTTTTTCCACACTGACAGTAAATTACTTAAGTGGTAAAAGACAATTCTTACATTATTTTAATAACTAAATAAATTGACAGACATATGAAGGAATTATTGTGCTTCTATTCTTCTTTATGGTTAAAAAAGTAAAGGCAATAAATATCTTTTATTGCTATTCTCGTTTTCTTTGAACCTTCTTTCAAAAGGCTTTTTAAGGCGTAAGTATGAATGTTAAGTTAGCTATCCGTGACTGACCAACCAGTGTTGTTTATGGCAGAATTTCACAAGCTGCACCTCTGTAAAGCAGCATGCAGGCACTGCCTGAGGAGCCCTCACTGAGAGATGTTCCTACTCCAGCATTAGCAGAAGTGAAAACTAAACTTTGGAAGCCTGGCCTAGGGTGAATATTGTTCCACATTGTCAGCTACTGCAGCTGTGGCTTGGCTGTGGTTAACTGAATGGTTTGCTCAAGAAACTGGGGTGAAAAATTCTTTGGCTAACATGATTTGAATGCAAGAAATTTTATAATGAAGAAGCCATTCATCTGTGTAGTTGCTACCTCTCCCTGCACTTAATGTTTTTTTTTGTGTGTTTTATTATTTGCCCCCCTCCTTTTTTTTTTTTTTTGTATTATTTCTTCCTACTTATGATTAGAATTTTTATCAGTAACTAGATATATGGAAATGCCCAGAGTTTCCAGTGTTTGGTTTATTTAGCAATGCGGTATTCCCCTTGCTGCTTTCTTTTAAGGAATTAGCTGAGCATTAACCAGCATCATTGAATATCTTTGATAATATACTGTGAAAAAAGAAGCTAAAGCACTCATTCATAAGCCTTTGCCAACACTTGAGATCGTAAGTGAAGAACATAAATGAAAAACACACTAGATCAGTAGCTAAGCCTCTAAAATGCTGTTAACTGAAATTATAGATTGTGACTTATACGCAATAGTAAAAATCATTTACAGAATGATCAAAAATTGTATACTTGAAATCTTTAATTTGGAATATCTTTTCCAGTCTATTCATTATTTTTTCCCTTTCACAAAAGCAACTTTCAAATTCAGTACTTAAGAGATTTCAGAAGGCAAAAACAACTGAGTAATTTTTGAGCTCAAGGTGGGAAGAGGCCCCTTGGTGTACAGGTCTGCCTCCTGTCTGCTATATATCTTCAGTTTAATGCTGGTAGATGATGTGTGATTAAATCCTGTGGCCAGCTTTGAAAATCCCATTTTAGCTTAAAAGTAATTATATATGGAAATAAGTGAGGAGTGCTGTGTGGGTAGCATTTATGCTTAGTAAAGTATAAAACTGGGATCTGTATTTACAAAGCTGTTGTTTAAGGTTTGCTTTTGTTCTGTCCGTGATTTAATTCAGTCCATTCAAGTTCTGCTCAAACAGCAGGTTTGGTCATTAGTAAATAACACAAAAATTGCTTAGCTCTTTGATCTATACAGTCCTGACATAAAATGTGCCTGTAGGCATGTGTAATATAAATATTTTGTAAGTGCAAATAATTAAAAGATTTTAGATAATAGGCATGTTGAAACTAGCAGTATTTTGCAGATTTTCAGTTCCTGTTGGATGACATACAGAACAAATAAGCAAAAAGAACCTCAAATAATCTCAAAATTTACAAAGCATTTGTTTTTAATAGCAGTTATAAAAATTACTGTGCTTTTAAATCACTATCTACATAGGGGAAAAAAAGTGTATTCTTACTGATTTGGATAATTACAAAATGTGTAGTGATTTCAAGCTTCATGATTTTAAGTTTCATGGGTTTTCTTTAGATCCAGAACTGTGAAGACTGACAAGATGTGTCTTAGTTCTGGTTTTATTTGGAGTGTAGTGCTGGTTTTATTCATATTATTCAGTTGATCTGGCAAAAAAAAAAACCACATTTTTCCAGCTCTGTTAGTTTTTTGATTATTAGACTTTTAGGTTGAATATCATTCTATGACAGTGACACAAGTCAGTGAACAAATCCATATTCCGTTATTATTCAATATTGAGGAACCCAACAAAGAAATTGGGGATTTCTGTCATGGGCTCCATCTCCAAAGAACATATCAGGGAAACATCCTGTTAGTGAGTGTAACTGCTAGTGTACTGTGTAACATTGAAGGTAGAACTACTCTTTTTTCAGTTCTTGAAAGCATTATAGTTAGTCTATTTTGGAGCTGGTTGTCATTAACTTCTTGCCTTTTTTTAAATAACAATTTCGTTTAAAAAATTGCAATGAGGAAGTAGTCTGTTAACTTGAGGTCCCCTTTGGTTTTGGAACTTATGTGAGGCAAGGGAGATGTGTCTCTGACCACCTAAAGCTAGTTCTTTGAGCTCAACTTTGAGCACTTATATACTGCAAGGAGCTCTCAAAAATCTTTTCAGAGACTAGTAGCATCTTTATTGTGTCTCCCCAGAGCTTGAATTGTTCATATAACTGCAGAGCTTTGTATAGCATAAGACACAGAGGTTTTGTAAGGAAAACTAAGTACCTAACTTCAAGTTAAGTACTTATTCTCAATTCTTCACAATGATTATTTGGACAGATATTAAAAGTATTTCTAAATGCTACTTATGTTGAAGCAAGAGGCATTTTAAGAAGATATCCTGTGTATTAAATGTCTACCTTGCTTGGAATGTTTTCAGTTTCTTTGCATGAAAGAAATCTATCCATCTGCATGATCCTGTGGTGTCTGAGGGTACAGTTCAAGGAAAGCTGAGCTCAGGCTCCTCTGAAATAAGCAGTCCTGTCTTGTCCCATCTGTAATGTTTCTGCTGTCTCAGTTACCTAGATCAGAAAATTAGCCTGATCAAAAAGCCTGAAAAAATGGCACAGGGAAAAAAAAAAAGGAAGTTGCCCGCCTGCAACAGCTGGTTAAACGATCTCACCAGTGCCGTTGCAAGAGGTAGCAGGGGAGGCTGAATTGTTTCTTCCAGCAAAAGCCCACACTGGTTCTACCTAAATCATAGAATCATAGACTGGTTTGTGTTGGGAAGGAGCTTAAAGATCAACACACCCTACCACAGGCAGGGACAACTTCCACTAGACCAAGCTGCCTGAAGCCCCATCCAACCTGGCCTTGAACACTGCCAGGGATGGGGCAGCCACAGCTTCTCTGGGAAACCTGTGCAGTGCCTCATGAGCCCAATAGTGAAGAATTTCTTCATAATATCCAACATAAATCCACCCTCTCTCAGTTCAAAGCCATTAGCCCTTGTCCTGTAACTACATGTCCTTGTAAAAAGTCCCTCTCTGTGGGCGACATGAGTCAGAAAGCCATATTCTAAGAAAGCAAATGACCAGTTTTACTTGAGATATAAAATGAATGGGTTTTAAGAGCTACAAGAGGTTTACTTGTCATGTAACAGCTCTAGGTAAAGTGCCTGGCACTGTTCCATCATGTTTATGCAACTCGTGAGCAATCTTTATCATCATACTTCCTTAGCCCCTCTAGGTTAGTGTAATGGTAATCTTTTAAATCTGTGATTTTCTCTCTCTGCTTTCCTAGAGAGCTTTATGTTTGATGCACTTTGGTGCTAAGTTGAAAGGCTGGGTAGCGTTTGAAGGTAAGGCTGGAGAAAGGAGCTCTCTACCTGTAGATGGGGCTGAGATGCATCTGGATTTGTGCAAAAACAAATTCTGGTCTCAGTCCTGCCCTCATGGAAGCTCAGGAGCCTGCACAGGCAAATTCCATACTTGCAGTTAAGTGTACACCATCATCAGCTCTTCCTGACAGCTTCATTCAGCTGGCACAAAAAGCTTCACAACCCGAGGCAACTTTTGATTATCCATAACTTAAATGCTTTAACATTCTGGAAATTAAGATCTGCAGCTTAAACTTGGCATGGGGCTCTGTGGGAAACCAGTGAAGCACAAGGAACAACAGAAGGCGAGGAAGTTCAGGCAGCGTAGCCAAGTAGACACCCAGGTGCATCATGGCTAGTTATCTGGTGCTCTTCTGGCAGAGTCTTACAAGCCTGTGTGAGTACAGTGCATTGCAGTTCCAAATAGGTTTTAGGAGGGGAATATAATGCCAAAGCTAAGCTGCCACTCCTAAGAGGCCAAGGCACGTCACTTAGAGAAAATATATCGTATTGCTGCTTGAGATGTCAGTATTTGGGCAGAGTCCAGTTGTGGTTTTGCTTGCAGTTTAAGTACCAAAATGTAATGGCTGCGATTATGAACTGTGTCTTTTTATCTTGCTATGGTCAGGTATCATTTTGTTCCTTATCAACCATTATCACATTAGAAGCACAAGTTTATCAAATACCTTATCAGGTGGATGGCAAGTGTTTAATTAGCTTTATGGTGATGATGAAGAGTATTGGAAAGTTGGTCTCTTCCTCTTCTTTGGTATCTGTAGATGTCACAGAAACTCACCTAAGTAGGATCCTGCACGAGTAATCTCATACCTCAATACCAGGTTTTCCATTATTACTCTAAGGGTACCCATTTCAGGTTTTCCATTATTACTCTAAAGGTATTTGCTTCCAGAAAAGATCAGATAAGTGCATTTCTGTGGATTCCTGCCAAGAAGATTATATAATAGTGGTACAAGTACATTCTCATGAAAGATGAAGAGTATTGTTGCACCTAGAGTTCCTATATGAAAAGCATTACTGCTATCTGTTGTTACTTCACATTGGAGATTGCTTACTTGGGGTTTCTTGTTTCTCTTTGTGTTTGTTTGTTGGTTTGATTTTGTTATTTGTTTGGTTTTTTTTTACTAAATAGACTTGGATTATCACTTGCTTTTGTCTTCAACTGCTCCTACTTAATCCTCTTGTCAAAGCCCAGAGTTCCTGCGGGAATCCAGTGACAGATGATGTGAATGACATTACAAAATTGGTAAGTAGCTTTTATTTAAAATTATTCTTTATGTTAAATAATAATTAGTGACTAATGTTACTTGTATTTTTAAGCAAAGTTAGAAAATCTGTATTAGAACCAGGGCAATATTAAAAAAAAAAATCGATGTCTATCCCATGATCAAAATCAAAACCTTTATTGCAGAGACTGGCGAATAGTGTCAGAGTTCATTAAAGAGATGATCTTCTTGACCAAGGTAGAGTCTATATACGTATGTGTTTTCCTCCCTCCAAACTTCCATACAAATTGTCAAAAGTCTTGATTTCATCAAACGTTGTCTGGGATTAGATTGATTCCCATGCAGATGAAAGATTATTGTCTTTGTGTTACTGATTTGCACGGAGCAGACTGGCGGCAAACGCATCTGAAATGAACCAGAAGTTTTTACCTTTGGTATATAGGAAATTTGTGCCTTATATCAAAATAGAAAGATACTAGACATCATAGTAGCAATCAAGGGAATAACAATTGAACAGCACTTATAGTCTTTAGGTGTGAGTGGGCTACACTCATTATGTGTTTCTTTCTCTACTTGCTGTACCTAGAAGTTTAAGTCTGAAGGACTCATATAGGCTTCATATAGGAAGAACTGAATTCATTTAAGTACATTTTAATTTTTACTTAATTGAACACTGCTTTAACCTGAAAAACTGTATCTCCTTGTGTGAAGTCAGTTGTTATTTACCTCCACTGAAGTCAGTGATTATGCTAACTTGCAGCAGCAAAGGATCTAACACAAAAGTTTTTAAGAAATAATATATACTGAACACTTAAAAAGTATACCTTCATCTAAAAGTATATACAGGTATATTCAATATGTGCAAGTATATCTGCATCTACTTCAGCTGAGAAGTGTGGTTTCTTTATGGAAAAACAGTTGCAATACCAGAATTCATACTACCAAATACATAATTTGAAGTTTCTTGCATTTGCTGCCAGTGCAGTGTTCTCAACTTGTTTTCTTTGGGCATGGTTATACACATTGCTGTATAGTATAAATCTCCGGGGGTTCTCTATATTCCTACTCAAATACTTAGTGCTTTACATTAGTCCCCGGAGGCAGAATTCTGAACTATTGGCATGTTTATTCAAGATAATATTTAATTTCTTGAAAGAGTATTAAGCTTTGATTTAAACCTGTTGAAAGCATGACAGAACAAAAGAACTCTTGTGAGGGCTGATGGAATTGTTTAATATAACACTAGCAATAAGTTTTTGTCAGTTATGTGTCCTTAGAACAAATGCTTTACCTTTCCCTTTAGTACAGTTTAAACTTCAAGAATGTGTAAATACAGATGACAAAAATTTGCAGCTTGAGTAATCACACTTTGCTTTTGAGATAAATTAGGAAAGAAACCTTTCAATATTATGTTCCTTCATCTTCCTCCAGACTGGTCCAGCAACTGCAGTTCTTGCACATAGTCCTTGCAGCACTATGTTTCCATACCCACACTCTCCTCCACATCCCCTCTTAGTTCCCTCCCATGCTCCCTAGCATGATGCCTACCTACCGAAGCAATTTTTTGAGCGCTTGCTGGATTTATATCCCCTTTTGCTTGGGCTGCTGACTTGGCCGGAAGGACTTTGTGTGGCAACTGCTTGGTGTATGTGCTGCTTTTCCTCATAAAAAAAACCTCTGCCAAGTGTCCAGGTTGTACTGTGTTTCTGCTGCCAAACCTGAGCAGAGTGGTGTAGGGCTGAGCTCCTCCAGCCACTGCTCAGTACGGATGCTGTACAGTCTTTCTCCTGATTTGCACTCATACCTTTCAGATCTCTCTACCAAATGCAAAATTTGGATAAAGTCAACTAGCAAGTTCAAAAATATTTTGAGTTGGAGAAATAGCAGAGAGGTGCAGATAATATAAAGCCCATATACCTGGATTCTCTCTGCTTTGAGCTGTGCATCTGAGAATGTTTTTAGGAAAGTCTGTATCCCTGTCTTGCCTGTGTGTTATTATTTGCAGAAATAATTTCTATAAAACCACTTGAGAATTAAAAAGAATACCATGGAAATAAGTTTAGTGCCTTCCATTTACTGTGAGAACCCTCGGGTTATATTAAACTGACTGTATTGCAAATTGGTCTTTCTCTTTTGAAATGCTGTACCATTGCAAAAACTAATAATAAAAAAGGTTCAAAGTACTTTTAAAACAAAGTATCATCAGCTGACTGAATACAAGGGTGAAATTCACAGAGAATATTGACTGATCACATTGCTAAAAAGTATATTTTTTAATGCTATAGGGAGCAGTAGTACATATAGGGACTCCAGTATGATACTACTTGAAAATATAGCTCAACTCTCTTAAATTACTATAGAAGTTTTTCTGCTACTTTTGCTTTTTGGAAACAAAATATGCTAATTGAATTAAGGAATGACATTCTGATGACATGCAATGTCAGAATTAAATACAACACACATAAGTGGTTGGGTTCTTTATTGATCCTACTGGCCTTCAAAAATTTTATTTCTCTGCTGATCCAAACAGTTTGTGCCAGTAGGACATAATGTCTTTAATAAATGTCCTCCCCTTTCACACTGAGAACAAATTGTAATGTTGAGGGTTTTGCAGAAGTCAGTGTTACTCATACAGTTATTGCCTATAGTTTTTGTGATGTTACCCACAAGCTCTGTTGTGCTACCTGAGAGTAGTATGACAGTTATTTCTAAAGGCTTTATTCTTGGCCACACTGTCATGTTCTTTTAAACCCTTTTGTTCACAGTCATGAGTATAGTCCCTTATCTGTGTGCAATAACTAGCTGTTCAGCTGTACTACACAACCCATCATTTAACTTAGGATATTGGCACCTCTTCCTCCTGTCTCATCACAAATGCTCAGACATCAGTTTAGATTCAGTATGGCCTGAATCCTCCACTGAGGCAAATTATGATCTCTTTATCTCCCCAAAATGTTAGTCTTCCCTGGGCCTTTTCTCCCTGTAAAGTTATGTCACTATCTGTCTTCAGCCATTAAGGTCTATAACAAAGGTGTCCATTTTGGCTCTTGATGCTTAACAGACCCTTGTAAGCTCACTCTTAAAACCTCCATTGTTTTTCCTGTCATGACAGGAAAAATCACTTTTATATCTGTCTATATAAATTCACTTTTCTTCCAAATTCTTGGTAGTTAAAATCCAGTCCACTGAAAAAATTTTTTTCTGGCTTCAACTTCTAGAATTTTGTCCTTCTGTCTGTTAATTTGTTGCTCTGACCCTGTATCTTCTACTTACTTCCTTCAAGCTCTTCCTCCTTTGTTTCATTATCAATGACAAGCTTCTTGGTTTTGTCTTCAAAGGCACTATTATCACTGTCTGTGATGTCTTAACACATAGTGAGTTTGCCCTCTTGTCCTAACTTCTCCTCATTGTTTCCATAGTATCTGTTAATGCTGTTTGTGGCTGCAGGAAGGATGCTCCTTGATGAACTCCAGGCAGATTTTAATGCTCTTACTATCTCATGCTAAAATTCTTTGCAGCATGAATCCATGTCCCTACTCTTTCTTTTTCCTACTCGTTCTTCCCTACCTCTGCTGAAGTTCACCTACCGCTTGCAAAACAGTGCTAGAATTACCTACCAAACTCTTTTGCATGTAGCTTGATTCAACCTAGCCTTCACTTATTTGTTCCTGGGCTTCTTCTTCCAAGTACTGTGAACTCCCTATATCACTGGTAAAAAAACCCTGAGCATTGCTGTGGCTGTGTTCTGCTGGACTGTATTGTATTCGAGGAAGATGAGAAAAAAATGCGTCAGTCAACACTTTCTGTGAAGACAGATCATAGATGTCAACTTAAGCCTAAACTATCAGTGAATAAATAAGGCATGCTGTGCAGTGCTTGAAAATGTGGGTCATTTGCCTAATCAACTTTGTGTTGAATAGTAAATTGAGGACAGATGTACAAGCGTAACTTGTTTTCAGTGGTGTTAATCTGGATTTTCACTAGCATCATCCTAGTCTCATACCAGAAGCCAGAATTGGAAAGAAAGAGCAGATTCAATAACAATAAGGTTTGTGAGCCCTCAGACCAAAGTACACTGGACTGTTCATACAGAAAAATAACTTTTTTGTATTATCTGTAAGATTAAAATTTATTCAAGTCTTTATAATTTAATTTTGTCATGTGAAGAATGTGTCCTAAATAAAATGATTTGAAGAAGCAAAGAACAATTGAACAATCTTTTTTTTTTTTGGGGGGGGGGGGGGGGTGTTTTTTAATAGTGAGAACTTTAAAAGAGCAAAATACCATGCCAATAGAGAATGAAAGTATTTAGAGATTATTCACCCTGCATTACTAATCACTTGAACTCCTGCTTCTTTTTTTAATGAAGATATCTGGAGGGAAGCACATTACTTGATGAAAAAATGTTCTGTCTTATGAAACTGTAATTGCAGCACCTGTCAATAAAACCTGTCCCCATTGTTCTTTTCAGCACAGTAAATCAGCAGAAAGCTGCATTACTGTAATTATGACTGATTTTGCATAAGAATTAGGAATCTATTGTATATACATTTGTTAAATATGATCAAACCCACATATAAGTAGAATTTTCACTGAACATAGAAGTAGAATATCACTGAGCTGTTCAGTATGTATCTACATATTTCAGTTTCATCCATTAACAAAATCTAAGATACCTCTTCTCCCATGATCTACTTCTCTAAAGCCATTTTTTTTCTTCTGGATGTTGGATGCCCAAACAATTGTCAGTATTTACCAACCAGGTTGCTTGCTCAAGACATGCAGTTTCAAACACTTTGCCTTCACTTTGCATCTTTGCTGTAAATGTGTAGTTTACACTCTCTGCAACATTTTATTTTTATTTTTTAATGGATCTAACTCTCAAAACTGAAGGGTTTATAAAAAACAGTCCAGTGTTGTTATCCTGCAAATGATCTGCCACTATGGCTGTAAGAAGTGTGAACGGAAATTGTTAACATGTTGTCTTAAGCCAAACGATGAGGATTTTATTAACTGCTTCATTAGCAAATGAGATGAGAGTGGATTGTGAGATGATGGACAGAAAGTGGAAGCTCCTGAGGAAAAGCCAAGGATGCAAAGAAGGGAGATGCAGAGGTATTAAAGAGTAAGAAAATAAGAATCACAAAGAGAGAAGTGGGAGGTGGAAATGGTAGCCAAAATGAAAGTGTGGGTTTTCCCATCATATGCCTAAGAGTAAATAAGATATCACTGATTTTTACTTTTAGCAACTTACTTTATCCTTGATCTGTTTAAAAAAAATAATATCTGTGCTTGTTTCCTTAAAATTTTTATAATAGTCACAATAAAGAGAATTCCCAAGAGTGGTTGCTCTCGTTTCAAAGTGCTTGACTGCAGAGATAGGTCATCTCTTTTATGTTTTGCTCTTCCAATGAAAGACTACCCTACAGAATCCAAATAGCTTTTACAACATCCCTCTTCTTTCCTTATGTGACCATGAACATACTTCGAAAGTATATTTGGGTTATGCAATGTTAACAGTGCTGTATTAAATATTCAGACCTCTGTATATATGTTGTATTTCCCAGTCTAAGATTTTGTTACAACTGGAAATACAGCACTTAATGTTAGTTTTATATGGATTTAAAAACATTCCCTGTTCTTCACCTCTTCTCAGAGCCTGGTATGCTTTCTACAACCACACCTCCCCCCCCCCATTAAATCAGAGAAACTTTTTGTGGCATTTTAATTGCAATGCAGGGTTCTTTTAGCTCTATACATTACTTTCCAAGATTATCAGTTGACATTCTCTATAATCATCAGAACTGTTACTTTTGTCTAAACCAAGGCAAGACCTGCAAGTAGGTGTTTCGTTGCCCCCAGATTTGTCACTGTACTTAAGATGTTGATTACAGGAATCAAAAAGGCCATTCCAGGACTCAGGGAGTTTCACAGGATGGTCCCTTTCCATTCCACTTCACTCAGGCAACTCAGAGCCCTCTTCTCATCTGCTTCTTGCTGGGAGCTGCAGCAGTCAGGCCCCCACGCTGAGTGTGAGGATGCAGTCTTTTCATTCCTTTCAGGATCTTTTCAGCAGTTGAAAATCAAGTGGTTAGTTTTGGATCATAGTCTTAGGAGGTTGGAGCTAGATGATCTTAAAGTCCTTTCCAACCCTAACTATTCTGTGATTCTATGAAATTTCAAGATTAATTTCAGGAAAGCAAGAGAATATAAAATGCAGAGATTTAGTACAAACATATCCTTAAGCCTTACTCTACCCTGTTTTCTTTGTGTGAGTTGGGAAGTCCAACTGGGAGACAAATATAACTCCCTCTCTTTGACTGAGCTCCATCGTTTACCATCAGCAAAGCATCTGGCATGTGGAGCTTAATCAATAAAACTTTAACAAGTTGTTTCATCTTGAGGCAGGACATATATTTTTTGTTTGACACCCTCCCCCCCAGTGGTCTTCATTTTTAGTAGTAAATTCAAAAATATCTTTTCTGATTCACAGTCTGTCAAGGAGAAAAATGACTGGGGCTGAGATGTATTCTCTGGCTTTGTCTGAGAAGCTGTAAGTGCTCTTGGACAGTTACGTTTTTTTAACTGTGCGTGAAAAGTGCTTGACAGGCTCTGATGCTGGTAAAGTAGATTGTATACATAATGCATATCAGTTCTTGTAGTGTTCATTGATTTGGAACAAATTTAATCTTCCAGTGGCCTTTCTTAAAGAACAGTACTTTTTGCTGACATTGCTAAATATTGAATTCCTATAGAGTATGGGAATCTTTGCACATAAAGTACCATCTTCACTATCTTTGCTGCTTGAAGTGCTGCTAATCCTACCTCTCCAGGCACGCAAAGGTAGCTGGAAAAGAATGATTACTTATTAATGTGTCGTGATGTCAAGATGCTCTTTAGAAGAAGGAAAAATACATAAAAACCTGTGGATGAGAATTTAGAATGGATCAGGTGCTCTAAAGAAAGAACAAATGCAATACTGCAACATTTTCCAGTATTTATAGCATCTTGAATCAACTCCCCCGAATTCCAGGTAAATGGAAATTGATACAAAGAATTTTAATGGCACCTGTGCTACTGCTGCTTTGGGAATACGTAGGTCTAAAAATAAAAAATAAATTTGATCCATGAAAAGGAATTTACCAGGGTCAGTTGTATAAAATTGCTTTTTAAAGCTGGAGGAGAAAGCTAGATGTCATTGAACTGAAAGATTGTGGCTCAGCCCATGGTGTAAACAAAAAAGTGTTTGGAATTCACTAGTGACTGTACATAAGTATTGTCCTTGATCATTTCCAGAACCATACAGAAATTGCTGTATTAATTTTTAATTGAAACTAATTTTCAATTGACAAATAAAACATTCTGTTGTGACAAACAAAATGCTACCTAAAAAAATGCACAGGAAAAAAGAAATTCATGTGCTGGTTGCTATAGCAGCAGAATCAAAAGCAGCCATGACAGGATGATCTTTAACCTGAAGAAGTAGAAATGCTTTGCTGAACAAAGTATAGATTCTGGTTCACCAAAGGAATTATTTATGTGCTTATTGTCTTTTGACTAAATGGATTACAAACCAGGATGAAAATATCAATTGTAGTTTTCACTGATACAGAAGAAAATAGATTTGCTGTATCACTGGGCATCATAGTATTGGTAAACCTTCTGAAAAAAGTACTTCAAGAGATTGCAGATTGTGGCAGCATCTCTCTCTTCATCTCCCTGCTCAGCACATTCACCAGGCTAATAAACACATCTCATGGTAGTGTTGGATTCCATTTGTAGCATTTTGTGCTGTATAATTCAGTGAGAGCCCTTCCACTCCTTATCCTTGCTTCAGCACACCCCATACTCACCCACATCTGCAAAGCTGCACTCATCTTACGTGTGTAGAAGCCCTCCTTTGCCCCAGCACATTGCTATGATATAATTGTATTGCTCATCATTAGTAAGAAGCACAGCTTCAAAGTTAAAGTTGTGCTCAAGTGTTTTCTGACCTGGTACATAACCGAGCACAAAGCAGGTAAGTATTTCTTTAGATGCAAGTGCTTGCTGAAGTTGGAAATTATTTGAAGGAAAAAGGCTTAGAGACTATCCGGCCCTTTACAGTTTGGAGTGGTTGAAGTTATGTAGAAATTGTCATGTAAACATTCAAGACACGCCATTAAAAGATGAAAATGCAGTGGAGTTCCTGCAGTAGTGAATAACCTCAGATCAGTTCTCCTCACCACCTTACTGACTTTTATTTTGCTGGGAATTCTTAGCATTGAACATGATCAGATAGCTTTTGGGAATGTTACAGAGGTGTGGAAAGATGCTTCACTTGTGAGCAAATAAGTCAGTAGCATTTTGAAAGGAAATTGAGTATGTAAGCTTTTGCACCTGGTAGGTTCTGGAAATGTGTGTCGCATACTTCATTGAATACTGTGATGAAATTAAGACTTACTTCGTGTAGTCAGTAATAACTTTTTTATTAACTGTTTATTGTAGGTTGGAAATCTCCCAAATGATTATATGATAACCCTTAAATATGTCCCGAAGATGGATAGTCTGGTATGTACAACCACTCTAAGTTAATGCCAATAAAATAGCCCACTGGAACCAGTGATAGCTGTAATATTTTGTACGTAGTCCTATGGCTTAGTAGGTTACAGTTAAATAATGGTTATTTCACTTTACATACACTTCACAAATACTCATTTAAAAGAAATGTAGAGAGATTCCTGCAGTCGCTTAAAACCTTTTTAATTACAGGTATCTTAGAAAAATGTTTCTTCATGCTGAATTTTTTAACACTTTTTTTTTCCTGGAAAATTTCAAGTTATGATGTCACTTCATCGTGTCAACTGAAAATTGTTTTCCTAAAGAAGTAGTTTCTTTCTAAGTGTGCTTTTGAACACGCTGCAGTGGAACATTCAGCCACTGGAAGTGCCATTAAAGAATAACAAATACTGAGTAGCCAATAAAGAGAACCCGAAATTCAGCAAATGGTAGTGTCGATAACTAAAGACTGGTAGAAACTAAGGACATTTCATTCAAACATGCTTTGTGTTATTCTTTCTATATAATCCCATATACATAGTGATACTTTCAAATAAGCATTATATACTCTCTTTAAAAAATTGTAATGTTTTGTATTAAAAACATTTTCGTATCATCTTGTTGCCTATTCTGCTAAAACTTTTCATGCTATATTGTACTATAGTACTAAGGAAGGAAAAAAAAAAGTAGGAAAAGGACTAGTTTGTCAAACTGAACAATATTGTGCCTGTCTTCTTGAGAATGAATCATTGTACACATGCATCAGTGATTGGAAATTATCTGGTAGATGTAAGAAGCTGGGTTTGTGTATGCACAAAGTTTTCGTTATGAAAATCCAATTTGTGTGTGATATGCATAAAACCGCATTCTATCCTCCAACATTGTAGCAAATCTAGCAAAAGTCCTTATTGATACTGGAGAACAATACTAGAAGAAGCATTCTCTCAGTCCTGAATAAAGATGGCTGGAGGAAAAGAAGGCTGTGAGATTGTCAGGGCCCTGAGCTATGATGTTACAAAGTATTATGACAGATCTGGCAGTGTTTTTGAGTTTTATTGGAAGCTTGAGGCTTTTACTAAAACTAGAGTACTTTAGAAAACCCAGTTTAAACTTGATTACTTAGACATAAAAACTGCAGAACAAATGCCATGGAAGTCAGATACTAGAGCCTATGTAATATAATTAAAGCTAATGGAAAAAAATTCAGTTCCTGAAAATAGCCAATATCCAGAGAATAGGGAAGTAAGACTGGCTGCCACCATCCACTGGCTGTGGTGCTTTTTAAAATTCAGTGGTTTTGGTGCCTGATGCGATGAGATTTATGGCTGTGGAGGACACCTGTATCCTGAGTGCTGGTCCCTATCCTCCAGGATGAGCTTGGCAGCTAATGGGTGAGAGCTGGGCTGGATTGGGGCTGTTCCCTCTGGTGCACTTCTAGGGAGGCTGGTGCTGAAGATGAATACGGCCAAGGAGCCTGCTTCAGCGATGATTCCTAGTCATTCTCACTGCTTAACTCTTTGCTCCATGGCTCAGTTTTGGCTGCCAGCACACAGTTTCTCTTCTATAGTTTATATGCCATGTCATCTCGCTGCATCATATCCAGAAATTTAGATCCAGTTTATGTTTACAATGAGCAGCCAAGAAATAAATAGGAAGAAGTTCAGAGCTGGGATTTCCATATTGCCTTTGTTCAAATGCCACTTTCAGTGATGGTGATGGAAGGTGTAGCTCTTGGCCACATGCCTTCACATGAGGCAGTATTCAGTGGTATTCACATCCCACTTTGCCAAATTCCTCTCTGGGGATTTCAGGTGGTTTTACACATAACAGAGCAAAGGCTGGCTCTGGGTTCTGCAAGATGGGAAACACGGCTCTGCATAAGGTGAATACCCTTTGTTCATCTCTGAAAAGATTGAAACAGCGTTCTGCAGTTTTTTTTCAATAGATCTTCAGTGCGTGAATAAAGTGGAAAAGGTACCCAAGGTAGCAAGTCTCAAACGTAGATGACTAAAGGTAGGAAGGCAGGGTGAATGGAAAGCGGATGGGAAGCCAGTGTAGTGCATGTAACAGGAACAGACTGACCCAATCCATTAAACAGAAGGGTTGTTATATTATGCACTAGATCAAGGCAGCTGAGTGGCTTTAAAAGTATTTTAGCACAGAGTTAACTGTGTAGTCCAACCTGAAGGGTAAAAAGGAAAAGATGACAGCATCAGGGGCTGAACGCAAAAGAGGAGATAAACTTTAAAGTTTTAGATAGGTGTAGAAAGAAAAAGCTAAATGAGGTCTACCTGCAAGCCCTAAAATGTGAATCTTAGTCAAGGTTTACACAAGAAAGCAGATTTTAAACCTCCATTTCTCCTTGCAAGCAACATCACATTTCTCAGTTTCAGCAGTTTCATTCCTGTGTTTGGTATGTATGGAGCTAGCAAGTGATTGCGCAGCTTGATACTACTGAAAAGAAAATTTCAAGCTCTTGTTAAATGCAGCTTTGTAGGTCAGAATGGTTCAGTCAGAGGAGACTCCTACACACATGCTAAACCATGGGAGTAACAAAATAGACTCCCTGCTGAAATCACCAAATGCTCACTAAAGAAGCAGTAAGCTTTTGCTAGTCCCTGCCAGAGGAGAATGCACACCCACAAAACCTCAGAGGAAATGGGTTTCCTATTTTGCAGCTCAGTGAAGCACAGGAGCTCTGTGTCCGTGTTCCTACACCAAAGCAGAAGAAACTGTGTTGTCTGTCTCATGAGGGCAGTGGGACATGGCACAATGTGTGCTGCTGGAATGGAGTGTTTTTCAAGAAGCTTTCTCTGATTTATTTGCTTCTGCCTCTCCTCTCCAGTTGTTGTGCTTGAAGGGAAAAAGGGGGGCAGGATCAAGCCAAACACCGTCCATTTCACAATTACAGAAGGTGATGATAACTGACTTACAACTTGTCTGTGTGTGAAAGAGTTGTACACAAAAGTGAAAAGTCAGGTGAAGCTGAGCAATGCATTTACGTATGGTTCTTTAGGCCTGGGAGCCTAATTGTCTGGTTAGTCTTCAAAAGCATGAAGTGTGTTTTTCCTCATCGAAAACATTATACATCCAGGCAGAGCACCACCTCTGTCACCAAAAGAGTAATTTGTTGCCAAGTGGTGATATTGGTACTAGTAGGGACAAAAAATAATTGAAGAAATTATCTGTATGAAGGTTTATTGCATAAAATTAGTAAAATGAGATTAAATCTAGAAGCAGATAGATCGGCCAAACATTTATTGTGTTTTTGGGAAGATGAAGTAGGTGGATTCAGTGGATGCTGCCCATCCACTGGCAGCAACTGGTAACTGGTTTAAGTGATACTGAGAGAGTACTTAGGAGGTGTTTGGCCAAGAACTTTGTGTCTAGCAGGGTTTAGTGATCCCGAGACTTTTTTAGCCATTGAAAAAAATAGCTTCACATGTGGAATAAGTTCCCATAACATTTAACATTAAAAATTCAGCTTTTATTAGGGACTGACTTCCAGGTACGTGTTGCAGTATGACTAATGCATTACCTGTACTTTTGCTGATTGTATTACATTAGGGGGTTTTCTGGGCTGGGTGGCTTTTTTTCTTTACGTGACTACTGTGTGTAAATCTGAGTAAAAGAAGTTAACGCCCTTTAAGGAAGCAAGATGAATGACCAAGTTTCAATTACATGAACAGCTGCACAAACTTTGTCTGCAAACTAATTGCATAGGTGTCAGTGAGAGGATTTGAACTCTCTTCCAGTGGCACAGATGTGGCAGGTACCACCATGACCTGTGCAGAACCCTCTTGTTGGCAAAAACTCAGGAAAAGAAAGACTTTCAGATCTGGAATCTGTTCTGAGGAATGGCATCAGGTGGAAAAGCTGAAGAGAAGAAGTTAACCAAGCTAACTCTTTCAAAGGTGGATAACAGCATACATGGATTTCATGCAAAACGTTTACAGAAACCTTCCTCAGAAGAGATTTAAATCAAAGATCTTTGAGGTTAACTGAGTCATGTATGGTAACAATAATAAAATGAAAACTGAGATTGGTTTAAAGAAAGTCTGGATAAAATTGTTAAAGCAGTAGTTATTTTTTAAAAATAAATAGGTTAATGAAAGCATGGACTAGAGTTAGTAGTAGCATGTCCCAAGGCTCAAATTCTCAACAGACTGATGCTTAGTATTCATTAAGAATTTAATGAAGGGATGGCTTTTAAAAGACAAGCATAAATATGCCAGTATCAGTGAGAATAGAAAATTTACCAAAAGGACTGAAGAGAAAGTTGGCCACACTAAAGAAGACAAATTTTAATTCAGACTTTCAAGATAATTTGAATTGGAAAGAACATTCTAATCTACTTTTGCACATTGAGCTGCTTAACCAGTTTTTGTAAAAGTCTGATATTTAATCTGCCTCTTTGTTTCTTTTTATCCCCTGACAGCCTAGTCACTGTTGGTTGCATTTGATGGTGCCTGAATTTTCAAGGAGTCTACATAGTCTTCTCCAGAAATTTTCAGATATTTCAGATATGTCTGATGTTTTAAGCAACTATTTAATCATCAATAATCTCACAAGGATAATTAATGATCTTATGGCATGCCTGGCTTTTGATAAAAATAAGGTAATCATATATAGAGTTTCTGCTTTTTTGCTGGATTTTTTTTACTTGAACATTCTGTTGCATAGTACTCAGTAATTGCTTAAAAATGTCCAAAGCTTCATCAGATTTGTTCTTATTTATGTTCCTGTACCTCTGAAATCCTACTTTGTTTAGAAATGCATTGAGTACACTGTGCTTAGAGTTGGCTAGTCATTATCTCCTGTGTCAAAGGAAAATGTCTTACAAGAAATTACAGTATATACAATGACTTGTATACAGTCAAAAATGTAACCTTCATCTTTAAGATAATTCATTCTGTCCTGTTTGAAACTGGCAGAAATCTTCCTTGTGCATCCAGCTTAAATTACTCATTTTGCTAGTGATCCTAATGTAAATTTAAAGATGACGTAGTCAAAACTATTAATATACTTTTAGTATGTATCCCACTGTGTGAAGCTCCAAAAGCTTCATCATGGTGTAATGATGATTTTTATACAAATACACAGCAAAGAGTAGGGAATATCAGTGCATTTCCATGTGTTTCTGGTTTCCAACAGCAGCTGGAAGGATTCCAGGAGTCTCATTCAAGACACATATGATTCTCTTGTGTGAAAATTATGGGGTGAAAAAAGTAACTTTCTAATCCCTTATCCAGCTCTAACCAGTTCTGTTGTTAAACACGTTGTCCCACTGAACAAAATAGGCAAAATCTGCCATGTTCTTTAGGGCAAGGATTTCATCTTCCATGTACGTTGACTTCTATTAAGTAAGTCCTTAGCTGTTGTCATTGAAACTTTTTAACATCCAGAATGAATTAAATGGACCAAACCACTCAATCTCATTTAGAGTAGCATAACCTTGTAACCTTGTTGCATTGGTAGTACATTGCTGAGGGTATTTACACATTCCCTACCTTTCCATTTCAAACTGAATTCTGTCCAGTCTTCAATGTATATCTTTTTTTTTCTTTTCTATTTTTGTCCTGATGACTCACAGCACTCAGCTGGGAAGTGGTTGGGGAAGAGTAATTTTGTTTTGTAGAATGAAGAATTCAATATCCTGTAATTCAGGGAAACAACCAGCTATTGATTTCCTCAGAGAAGAATGATCTTAGGTCTAGTACTTTCAGCGTTAAAATAATTTTGGAGCCAAAAGTGGGAAGTTTTCCTTAGTACATATTTACACCATTCTTAGGACTGTCATCCTTCTTGGGGGTACAGAGTAACACCAGGCCAAATTTGACCTGCTGGCATAGGAAACAGTGGTTATGAAAGCCAGAATCAGGTGAAAAGAGAAAAATAAGATAACTATCAATGATCTTAATGTGGACCTCAATCTTGTTGTTTAGTCTGGCATAACACACTTGTCTTTTAGACCTCAGAGACTAAGTGGGCTTCCTTGTTTATAGTCCTGCTCTTATTTTTAGATACATTATCAGGAATCTCAGACTGCTTCTATGCAGTAGTGTGTCCCAACTATTGTATTCTTTTCCTTGTACTTTTATGACAATAGCTATAATTGTGTTGTGTTCCTGTGTTCAGATTAAAAGGATCACGGGGAACATTGCAAAATAACATTAAATGGGGATAATTTTTTTAATGATGGAAATAAAAAAAAAAAAGTCTCTTCATTTTCAGTGTAGGATGGGAAGCTGCCTTTCATTCCTTGGCGATTTTCCAGCACTATATTAATAATTTATTTCTATTTGCAAAGCTAATTTGAAATCTTCAGATCAGAGGGCTTGTATGATTTATGAAGATTGTAGACAGAAAATTTGGTCTTCTGCAGGTTAAAATTTTAAACTATCTTGTGTTACCTTTGGATATTTTTATCATCTGTTGAGGTTTTGAAGTGAGTGTCTCTCTTGACCTTCTTTCAAGCTAAACTCTGTATTTTACTCTAGGATTTTGTAAAAGAAAATGGTCACCTTTATGAAGAAGGTCACTTCATTCCTGAGGATTTTTTTAGGCACTTTAATAATACCATTGAGGTCTACAAGGAGTTTGCAGATATATTGGATAAGAATGACTGCATTCTACCTTCAACAGTAGGAACACCAGAGAATGGTAAGATGGCCCTTATTTTGGGGAACAGAATCTAAGTAGATATAAATGGGTGATTTTTCATTTGATTTCAGAGATGCTAATGATCTGATGCTGTACCTCCATGTCTCCTTTTTACTGCCAGTTAAAATTGCTACCAGCTACCAGATTGTATTTCATTTCCAAGTTGAGTTCTATCTGGCAGTAAAACTAGTGCCATCATACCTATTGACATCATTCCTTAATAAAATTCAAATAACCTCACAATAATCTGCTCTGTTTCTTTTCATCCCAAATATATCCTGGATCACCTTTTTACGTTGTTCTTCTTATCTTCTATTAATGCTCTTAAATTTTATAAGGCAGTAGCAGAGCCTAACATTGCACTACTGAAAAAATAGGAAGCTAGGACAAGTTGTAAATTCCAGCAGCCTCAAGTTACCTCCATATTTGAAAAGGCCCATGTTTACTTCATTTAAAAATTTTAACAAGCTCAAGTCAAGATCCTGCAGTTCATTCTTACCCTTGCATTAAATGGAGGTATTTCACTCTTTCTAGCGACAGCTACTAGCTTTGTAATTAGTGCAACGCATCTAGTTGCACAGTTATACCAGTAGTATAACTAGAAGTATATAGTGTACTAGTAGTATAACTAGAAGTAGAGTAGTTCCATAATCTAAGAACTTGTTCAAGGCAATTGCTTTTCCACAGTACCTGTTCAGTGTGTTCCACAGTGTGTTCCACTGCTTTTCCACAGTACCTGTTCAGCAGCTCAGTGTGTCTAGACACATCTGCTCCTTAATAAGACTGCCTTTTCTGGCTTAATCAACTTTGTAAACAGCCCTGTACCCAGGTTTTTAAAACAGCCCCACATCAGAGTAGCCCTACAGCCCATCATCTTATATAGGGGGAACTGTATTTTGCGTTACGCAATGCTGACACACTCATTTTCTATTTAGATTCCAGAGTCGCTGTCACAAAAACATTTTTGTTTCCTCCTGTTGCTGCCAGCTCCCTTAGGAATGACAGCATTGGCAGTAACACTAGCAGTAACAGTAAGTACAAGTGATTGAATTAATATGTGTCTCCATCTTGTTCTGGTAGCTGGTTGTTATGAGAGTTCAGAGGAAAAGAATGTCGTTAATTGTGCAAATTAATGGGAAGTTACTTGTGCCTGATGGTGTACCATGTGTTCTCAGCTGTCATACCGAAATGCAATGAACTTATCTAATCAAAATTTACAGATGCTATCAAGTTGCAATAATGTGACAGCTCTCTAAAATTTGGAGAGGGCAAGTCTCTTCGTTTTGACTGTCATGAGGTCTCACTAGTCATATGGCCTCAGCAAACTTGGCTCTCCCAGATGCCTCATTTTAACTCATAAAAGGAAGTTGCTCCAAACAAACAGAATAGGTGAAGTAAATTGGGCCCAGGGTACCCACATGGACAAAGAGCTTGCCGGTACATTGCATTTTGAGAGTACTGTCAATCCTAAACTTGACACCAAACCCAAAGACAGTCCCTTGTTTGCTTGCTCTAGTCACAACAGGGCCAGCTCCACAGTCAGCATGCTTTTGGCTGAGGTCAAGGACAAAGTCACTACAGTTTTGGCAGGCTCTAATCTTCTCTGTCACAGCCATCTCTGTGTTTCTTGTCTGATTGGTCAGTGTACTACATGACAGATTACTGACTGGTAAGAGAGCACAGAACTGCTGCTATAAGAGCCTCTACGTTACATTATTCCTCATGAAGTCAGAAGGGGTATAGGAATCTGAGGCGAAGACAAGCAGCTAAGTTTCAGGGGCTTTTACTGACATCATAAATACTCTTTTACTGACAAACGAAATACTCTTGTGAGCAAAAGAAGGGGATTTTCCATGGAGGTTCCTGCTTAACCAAGTTGTTGTTTTCCTTGTTCCCGTTTCCTGGACACATCAGGATGACAAATATATCTCTTTTATAATTTCACCCTTTCAATTCACAAGCATCCATGCTAACTGAAAGTGTGATGAAGTCTGTGGCTAGTACTCCTTGTGTTTAAGAAAACATGGACAAGGAAGCAGCCTAACATTGAGTTTCTTCTCATGCTTCTTGGGAATGTGTAATCTAGTTATTCTCTGGGTTTTTAGCACCATGCATGCTACCTCTTAGTTGACAAACAGTTGCTGTCAGATTTGTAGCCCTTCCTGATTGCTTTCTAATTAAGAGAAGGTCTTGAGTCATCATTTCCCAGAACCCTCTGAGTACGTGGCTGGAACAAAAACTGCTTTCAACTCCTGGCTGCCAGCCGGCCTCTCTGGAAAAGGGAAGTCTCACTGCCATAAATTCCTCACCAAGAGGTCAAGGAGCTGACTACAAATAACCTGATGATACTGGGGCCAATTATGAGGTACCAGGAGGGGGCTACAGAGTGCATATCTGTCTCTCAGGTCTGAACGTGATAATTTTTGCTGTCACTGCTAGAGGCAGAATCGTTAGTTGCAGCCTGAAGCAATGGGAATGGATCAAGGAGCCAAAAAAAACAGATAGATTACAGAAGCAGTTCAGATGAAAGGAGTTTTACCTGGTAAAGTAAAAAGAGAGATGCCAGGGAGCACAGCTGAGTGTGGCACCTGTGTCTGTACTGTGTAAGGGAGTACAGAAGCGAGTCTATCAGTCCTATTTTATAACTGGAACTGATAATGAAGTAGGAAAAAAAGACTAATTAAAATAATGCAGTAAGCCAAGGCAATTGCTTGGCTGGCCATATGCTGTACAGGTGTGCTTTAACTGATTATCATTCTCTTAAGCAATTTATTGGAAAATTGGATATCAGTTAACAGCCTTATGTAGCAATGACATGAGGACTGCATGTCTGAGGCTGGGAACAGTTTGAACTCCTAATCAGATTAAATTACGTTTGTTTGGAGATTGAATGCTGACTGGGTACTCTTTAGGTATCTGTTTGGAGGTTTTTACAGGAAGTGACCTGTGGCATCTTTATTGGCATCTCTGTTTTACACCCTGAAAATGGCCTTCAATACTGGTTTTACTTTTGTCTTGGCTTTATTGCTAAGTTTTCTCTTTTACTTAATCCCTACCTTCTTGAAAGCAACAATAATGAATAAATCTCATTGCTTGCCATGTGAAAACTCCCCAGCACAGGGGACCTCTCTGCTGGCTTCAGTACTGTTCTCAGAACAGCACCACTGTTCAGCACAGTTGCAAAAATGAAAGCATTTGGAGAAGAGAGGAAACATGAAAAAAGCATTTTCTGGCACAAACTACTGCAGTATGTTTTATTAAATGAACCTCTTTAATTTTAAACAGATTTAAATTGAGCAATTTAAAATTAATGGTTTCTAGACCATTTAGGAGCATTCGCTGTTTGCAAAAGAACCCTTCCAGATTAATAATGAATTTTTAATCTATTAATTATGTCTGTGAAGTCAGATGACTTGAACTGCTCCTAATTCTAAACTCAACTTAGACAAACCTGAAGTGCATCATCTAATAAAAATCATTTGTGAAATAATTATAATAGAAATTGTATATAATATAAATTAGCTAAATTACATTTTTTCATGTTGTTGCTACATTTGTGGAAAGAGTCATATTTCTTGACTCCATTGTTATTACACAACAAAATTAAACTACTATAGTACAGTAGAATCTTGACCAAATCTACAACAAAATTCTTAACCCAATTAAGTGTAAAATGGAACAATTATCCTGTTTAGGGTTCGTTTGTTCACTTGTTTGAATGGCAGTAGTCCTGTTTTCGTCCTAGTAATATTGAATGTAGATCTGGGGCATGTTCCCACTCCATCTTTTCCCCCCACAAAATTATCAAAACACCACCACCAGCGCTGCCAATTTATTAAGGCTGGTTTATTTTCTTCCCTTTATATTACATGGTTGTAGTCCAATTTAAATTGCAAGTAACTGCTTAAGTACCAGTCTTACTGATATTTCTTTGAATCATTATACTATGATTCGTCTAGAGAATTCAGATGAGATTGTTCCTATGTAAAGGACAAGTGTCAGAATAAGAAGTCTTGAGTTCTAATCTCCAGCTAAACAATAAATAATAGTCTCTTTTTTCCCCATCAGTTGAATCTCATGTTGCTGTAATTAAAGCTTGAATTTACAAGCTGTTACTAACAGTTCTCAATTTAGTACCATGGGATTATTTATATTTTCATAACAAGTTCTTTGTTTTACTTTCTTCCGTTTTTTGCATATGATTTCATCACAATAATTTAGCTTTATTATTCAGTACTTAACAGTTTAAACTAAAACTTTCTAGGAGGAAGGTCTCCTTTTTTAATTAAGTAAAGAATAATGTAGTTTAATTCAGTAATTGCACAACAATTCACCCATAACAATGCATATGGTGTTGCCTTTGTTCCAACTTTAGAGTGAATGGAAGACTGTAATGAACAGGAGAAAGCTGCTCTGCATTTTTATAGATAAGATCTTGTGGTAGTTGTGTTGAAGCTAAGCAGAGGTAAACTGAAAAATCCTTTGAGACATATACACAGCAAAAGATCGAGCCAGTGCTTTGAAATATAATTGGCTGCTAGACCTACACACAGGGCTGAAGGTGGAGAGCAGCTCAATAGCTTCATCATGTAGCTGAGTGGCTTTTAATGTAAATATATTTTGTTCACAGCTTAACATCCCAATGCCCATAAAGACTATACATAAATCAACATCAGATGTGCTTGCTTCCTTAGGGAGTCTTTCACATGGTGGAGAGCAAAATCTCTGAGGGTTGCTGGCCTGCTTCCACTCCTGTTTTGCACCTTGCTAGATAAGAGTCTGTTTTAAGTGAATAATATACTAACTGCAAAGCCAGTAGTTCCTCTGGAGTTGTCCAGGGAGTTTACAAAGCTACTGATACACCTGGTTCCTCCTATTCCTTCTCTTACTTTGCCTTTACAACTGTTGGGAATAGGAATCTTTCTGTGTAAAGCTCTAAAGTTTCTAATAGAGGAAAACACCCTGTGGAAGGAATAAAAATCTATTGGCAGCCTGCTTGCTTTCCTTATCTCCTTTCATTAGGACACAGGTCACCAGGAGGTTCCCCAGGCTTAAAATTCTCCAACCTGCTCTGTCATAGATGTTGTTATAAATAAAATGCCCATGAAGGAACCCACCATGACTCATTTCATTCTTTCCAGATCTTTCAAGAGACTTTTTCGGGACTTGAAAGTGAAATCAAATAATCTGTTGTTGTTTGCTTTTCAAGGTAGTTATGGGTTACTTAACATTCAGATTAATTCATACACTATCAAGTTATGGAAAAAAAATCTATTGTCATTTTTAAAAGATAGGCTGGGGATGGTGTAACAGTTTGACTGTATGTAGGCTCTTTACCTGGGTTGCAGGTCCCCACATGGAAAGCTAAATATTAATTCCTGTCAGTTTTCCATAGCTGCTGAGGAGAACATCTGCATTGGAGTTATTTTCTCAGAAATCAGATTTTTTTTGACGTATCTAAAAGATACTTCATTGTAAAGGGACCATTTCTGTTGTCTAAGACTCTCTGAAGTTTGTAAAAAATAATAGTAAAAATGAGGGTGCTAGACTATCACCCACCATACAGAACATTTCTTTAGACATTTATGTAAAAATCGTCACACTTGCCATGATATGCTGCTCAGCATTGCAGAGAAGGCAGAGAATTTTTTAGGTTATACACTCCCCTGTAACATGTTATCAAATAAATTATGCTCTGTATGACCTGAAGAATTTTTCCTTTGATTTTTATTTCACTTTTCCATTTTTTTCTGAAGTTTTCAGGGCAAAATCCAGAAAACATGACCATAATTCAATTGCCTAACTGAGCAGCCTGTCACTCGGATGGATGACTAATGGTATTAGGCAAATCAGTTTTATTTAGCTACTCATTTTCCTTGAGTGGATTGCAAGAAAAATGTAGGAGTTTTCGCCTAAGAGTACAGTTCAGATAAAGTAATGTCAGGGGTTTCTTATTTTTGAGCTGTTTGGACTCGGTGTACCCCATTTGAGGTTGTCCAGATTTTTTTGAAGGTCAGTTGTGCAAGCAAACCTCCTCCATGCATAATCTGGGACAATCAGTTGGAGAGAACATATACCCCTCCAATTAATTTCTGCTCTTGATTGTAATGTCTGAGCAGACAGAGGCAGACTAATTGATAGCCTCTCTTCTTCAGCTGATGTTTACCTCTGTAGAACTTAGATATCTTTCCCTTCTCTGTAGACAGATTTCTTTCATGGCAAGGGCATCTGTTCTGCTTGACCCATGTTTCCTTTTGGTGCACCAAGTCTATCAGATGTGAGTAAAATTCAAGCTGTCAGAACCTAGAGGTTGTATGCTTTGTATGGTATACAGAGGTACATGTAGTATATAAGTACATAAGATACAGACTTTTTGTTGCCTTACTTTTTAGCTCTGTCTGTGACTGTGGCACTATAAACACAGCTGAATTTCAGAGATAAAAACATTTAAAGAACATTTGTGTAAAAACTTCAAAATGTCAACCAGAAAATCTCAGAAAGTTGAAGATGAGCTACTAGTTAATTATGAGAATGCTCCTTTCTACACTAGAGTGTTTTTTCTTAGAGGCTGTTTAATAATGTACTAAAATGCACATTGCTTGACCCAGTATCTCATATAGTACGTGCTTAGACATTTGCTGTTTGCATGAGTCACACAAATTTCTAGTGCTTTCAGTCCATTTTCATCTGTATCTAATCGCCTACATTTTTTCCAGTGCTTACAGTTTGGTTCTTTTCCTGTAATCTGACAATACATCCACCATTCGAGCTGCAGACACCAGATCTTGAAATGAACCAAAACTGGGTGGATAGTGTTTAAACAGCAGGCTCCTGTGGCTCACTTTGCATTTCGGAAGGTGGATCCCAGGGTGACTCTGTAGGACTTTTTGAACCCTGTTCTTGATTAAACAACTGGATGGCCACATTCTAGTCTCAGCGTGTGACAGGAATTACTTGTGGACATAAAAGACTAGGATTGGAGCTCTTCTGTATAAAATGTAAAAAGCTATCAAGAAATGTTTACAACAAAATAACACAGCTAGATTTCAAGATACAAGCTCTTGATCTTACTGAAGTCATCAAAACCTTTCCAGACAGACATTAGAAGTGAAATCAGGCTTATTTTGTTAAACTAACCTCTCTCTAGAGCCCTCGTGTTGGTAATCTATTAGCAGCAAGGCAGAATGTCTATCTGCACTCAGTGCCTTATGGAACTTAAGCAAATGCACAAAGATATGTGCTCTTCCAAAGAATTAGTTTGTGTTACTGAGTAAAACCTTTAAAAAATTGATAAACCCAAAACTTCGAAGTGCAGGAAAGAGAGAAAAGAAAAACAAGCAAACCAAAAAAAAAAAAAAAAACAAACCAAAAACAGACAAAAAGCCCAGGAAGAGAATTAGTGCTGGAACTGTTCGACACAGCTGTTTCAAAATGGGAGAAGTGTCTTTGTGGTCAAAAATTCCCTCTGAGACTTTGTATGAAGTGCACCTTGTGTACATAGCACCTTGAAGTATCTGTTCTACTATTTAAGATCTTATGTAGGTGGTGAATAAAAGTGCTCTTGCTAATAGTGTTGCCCTGAAGATTTTCTGCTATAAATATGTCTTTCCTAATGTAATTACAGAGAAGGCACTTGGCTTCATTAGCAGCTCCAGTCTGCAAGGGATCAGCATAGCACTGACATCATTGCTGTCTCTTCTTATGGGGTTTATTTTGGGAGTCATATACTGGAAGGTAAGAAATATTTCATTTAATTGCTTACATAGTGATACTACATTTCATAGCTATAGTCAGGCAGGAAGAACTTCTGCGTTTGAAAGCCAGAGACATCTCTTTTGATTTTCACTGAACTGTGTGATGTGCAAATGGAAATCTGTTGTCAGATTCTTGAATACCACCACCAAAGTGCAAATCCTGTCTAATCAGCATGATAGCTGTCCAACTGGAAACTAAAACCACAGGATTTCCCTAATTTCCCAGTTCTCCTATTGCATCTTGAGAAGAGGATTCTTTTGCTTTTTCCCCTTGTGCCTCTGCTTACAATACAAAGGCTTTGATGGTAAAATTATACCAGCAGCAGATGTGTATTAGAGGACAAGATTTGGCGTACATTTTGCAAGATGATTGATATTGAGAATTTGAAGCAAACTGAAACACAATATTTTCTTAGGGAGTTATAAGGAAAGCTTTAGAACATTTATATTTCATGCATCTTCTTCCTAGAAAACACATCCCAAATCCAGACCAGAAAGTGGTGAAACTACGCAGTGTCATGATTGTCAAGAGGAAAATGAGATAAGGTATGTTGTTTCACTTTATATTCGTATATACAAATGTAAGTTTATCGCAAAGATAAACTTTCTGAAGGTTTCTCTCCAGCTCTAAGACAAACACAAAAAACATCATATGCAAGGTCTTGCTGTAGAAGCAAAATATGTGCTGAGGATGTGTCCTTTAAAGGAGGTTTTAGTTTAAACATAAAAATTGATATGGAGGAGATTTCTGCATACAAAATGTTACTAAAGAGACATTACCTTTACTTTATCTGTCCTTACTCCCACTGTGAGAAAGGAAGGCTGAGACCTATATAGGAAGCAACAAAAGAAATTGTGTTATTTGGTGTGTGGTGTAAAGGTTCACGTTATGTAACAAATTAGAAAACATCGTCTTCCTGGCTGTGCTCCTATAACCTTCTAAACATTTTTCACAGGAACATTTTTTGCATTATCTCACTTTTTTTTTTCCTTTCCCCAGGGTATATGTATATAAGCATCTATGTTTTCCAGGTTTTTTTTTTAATGTTAATGAGAACTCATTCAAAGCCTGATAACTTTCCAAGATCATACTGAAATGATTTATGGCTCTATTCGTACTTAAAAACTGCATTACCTGATTTTTAATGAGAAAAAATAATCCTGTGTAACTCAGTCAATCAAATATAACTTAGGAATAACGCTTGAAGACGTTCAAAGTTGCTTGGACATGACTTGGGCAAAGAAGTCAGGGAAATTCGAAAAGGACTTAGGGATATTTTAAGTTAGAGTAGTTCACACTAAAGCATTTTGAGAGCATTACTTAACCTTGTATTTCAGGGTGTTTGGTAAAATTTTAACTATGAGGGATTAAGGGACAGATGTGATGCAGATGGCAGAAGGACACATCCTGTAGGCTCCTCAGGCTGTGTGAAATGCCTGGTGCTGTCCACTGTTGAAGGCAGAAATAGACAAGGTTCTGATCTAGCAGTTTGGTCACAGGAGTGGAAATCTTCTGTGTTTAAACTTTCTAGCATAATACATTCTTAATACAAATTTGCTTCGTGTGCAGTACTTAGAATGGAAGACTTTGTATTCATCAAGTATATTAGTTACTACTAATAACTCATCCTGTACTTCATCCTCATGCTAAACTTTGGTTTCATTTTTATTGTAACTTGTTGATAAACCCTTCCATTCTATTTTCTTGAAACACTAGCACTGTAGTAATGAAGTATCTTTTTCTTTCAGTGTGTTGCAGCAAAAAGAAAAGGAACATCTACAAGTGTAGCTGTTGGTTTTTCTCCCTCAACACTGTTACTGTTTTGTGTACTGGTAAGTTGTTATGATTGAGAGTCTTACCATAGGCTTAATAACTTTTAACTGCTGAAATATAAAGTAATTCAAAGTCCATTTTGGAAAAAAAAAAAAAAAACAAACAAAAAACCAACTACTTGTTATCAGTAGGCTTTCTTTATGCTTAAGGTCCTTAACAGCAAATACAATTAATCTTATATCATTAATTTAGGCGTTTGACTTTTAACCTGAAAATGTTACAAAATGAAATATGCCAGAATTCTCAAATGAAGATCAGCTTCTGCTTCTCCTTCTTGGTGCGAAAGCTGATACAGATAAATCTTCCGCTGTTGTCCTACAGCTGCTTCAAAATAGCGTAATCTAAAAACCAAAATCATTAAACTAGCAGATAAGTGCAGGAGAACAGACCAAGTAAAGCTGAGCATCTGTTAATTGTTGTTTATTCAGCACAGTGTGCAGACTCTGTAGCCTTATCAGATACATCATTCTTGCTTTAGTGTGTAAGAGTTAGCAGCAAAGGCAAGTGAGCTTTCTCAGTCCCAGCTGGTCCTGTGCAGAATGATGCATGTCTCTGGCAAGAGGCTTCTTACCACAGGAGTTGTGCTGTACTTAATCCATCCATCTCTGGCAAGGGCCTGGAAGATTCAGGCAGTGCTGGATGCTTCATTTAACATTATGAGCAGAAAGAGCAGTGTAAGAGTATAACAAGCAATCCAAGTTTTGCAGGTCATCCTGTAGTGGTCACTCTCAAATGTATTTCAGTGTTTGTTGTGATCAAGTTAGTTACAACTTCAGAAATTTTCAATCTCCTTAACTGTTTTGTTCTAACATCTGCTCTCTGAGAAGGGCAGTCATCACTGAACTGCACAAGTTGTCTGATTTTTCCAAAGATGTAAACTCAGTTTGGTATTGGCTTCTCCAGATGACTTCAAAGGGAAGTCTGCTGCCAGAGATTGCCAGATAACCAAAATGCACAAACACAGTTCTGTAAAACAATGAGAGTTGTTTCATCACCATAGATGACATCAAGGAGCTTTTGCAGGCAAGTGTGTTGTTGGACCAAGAAAGTACATCTTATAACGATAATTATTTCTTCAAAATAAAGGGATATCTATGGAAGAGTTGTTGAATTTGTCTGTTTCCAAAATTACAAGAAAAAATGTCTATGCTGTATGTCTGTGAAAAGCTCTGCTGTTTAGCAATGCAGACAGAGAAACTAAGCAGCAAAATTATAATTTTTGTTTTTCTCTTCAGGCAGGTAACAGTTCCATGTTCGCTTCATAAATGAAGCATCTTTAAGCACATTCGTATTCCTTCTGGAGTGACAGACTGAGTCTGCATCTGTTGTTGCTGCCCATGACTCCATAGACATGCTATAGAAATCAGGGCAATTTGTGTTTGTTACTGTGAAACCAACACTGAATTGACGACAAGAAGAGTGTGCAATTAGCAGGACTGTGTCTATGTGAGCATCTACCTTGTTTGGCATTTGGGGATTTGTAATTGCATTGAAACTTGCAGCTGACTCTGGCAAACAAAGTACATATCCTGAACAAAAAGCATCTTTCAAATGCCTCCAACTGTGTGTAATCATTGAAAGTCATAAATACTTTTGCATCCTTAATTTAATTTCTGTGTCCTCTACCTTACCTTCGTGTCTTCAGATGGAGTTTTCTGAACCAAGAGAAAACAGAAATGGATACAGATAACATACTCTTCAATGTTGTATATAAAACTTGAAAGCAAAGTCATGCAATGGACCTGTGTTCTAGCCTTTTACTTATAAGGAGTGTTTTTTGCCTGGCAAAAGTAATGTATACAGCAACATGTGGTCTCTGTTGAGTGCCAGGTGGCTAGTTGCTCACCCCAGAAAGCCTCAAGAACTCATCAGCCTTGGTGGTCTCTGTTTAGGAGAAGCAAGTACTGGATGAGGATGAAGTAAGCAGGAGGTGAATGTACCTAATGGAGCTTCAAAGCATTACCCACATTGCTGGGTATGTGAACACTGGTGAAATTTCCAGCCATGCCAGTGGAAGGGAAAGAGTCTGAATTGCGTTCAAACATCAGAATAAAGACAAACCTATGAAATGCATTTTAAATGCTGAAGATGCATGCCATTTGTACCTTGTCTTTAAATGTATAGCATAGAAAATCTGAAAGATTCTGAGTGTATTTAGCTTTTACTTACGTCAGCTGTAATTAATGTTTGCATTGTGGTTTAAGTGTTTAGTAAGCTTTAATATCCTGTCATTCTCCACTCTTAAAGTTAATTCTCCCAAAACAGAAGAGAAAGTCTTTATTTCCCACTTGTCTTCTGCATCTTTTGCTGTTATAGCATCCATGGAATCTACACAAGACTCATGTACAGACATGCATTTTCAAGTAAATCCAAAAAATGCCATGCTAAATGTTACAAGTGTAGTTGTGCATCTTTTCATCTTGATTCTTTACAGATAATGGGTATGAATTATTTATATGTTAGGGGGTTGTACTTCAGAAGGTAAAGATGGCTGACTTGAAATGATAAACTGCTGACTGTTGTCAAACTGACAAGGTCAGCAAGAGGTTTAGTTTAAGTAACTTGAAAACTTAAAAAACCCACTATCATTTTAATATTTCACTTAAAGTTGGAGTTCTCTTTAAGCATAAAGTTACTTACTTTTGTTAAGATTCTTTGTGAAAATTTTAATCATCTGCTGAATTTTCTGAGAACCATGCATAAAAAGGATATGACATGCATATAATATATTTGTGTGTGTGCGTGCATGTGTGTGTGTATTATTGGTAAAACTGATTCATCTTTCATACTTCCCCAAAAAGAAAAAAACTCAAAATCTCACTATGTTTGATGACAGAGCTTATGTATATGTATGTATGTATGTATGTAGCCACTCTGCGTGGAATTTTGACCCTACTGAGATCAATGTCAAAACTTCTCATGAATACACTGACAAGGATTTGATCATGTGAAACTATTTTTTATTTATACGGAGGCCTGTTTGCACTTCCTGTGTGTCAGAAAAGGGTCCTCATGTCCTGCTCAGCTGGTACAAATTAACATAGTTCTATTAATATTAACAGAGCTTTAGAGGTTGCATCATGGAAGGAACTTGGACTCAATCAAAAGAAGCTTAGCATGAGAATTAGGCCTTCATTTTTATTCAGAAGTTGCTGGAGCACTCACCACTTAATAAGAAAATAATCAGGGTTTATCGTCACTTCTAAAAAGCAAGTGCATTTGAAATTTTAGTTCTGCAAAAATCAAACAGAATTCTCCATCTACAGCTGAGTCTCATTTGACATTGTGTAGTTCTTTACTCACAAGACCCTCAGACTTCATGTTTTAAACTTATTTAAGAGTTACCGTGAAAGAAATGCCAGCATGACCTAATTTATGGGAAAATTGCACCTTATTGGTAATGTAGAAAATAACTGCATATTGTTTTGACATAGCGCAAAAGAATCCACAATGGATGGAGGCATTTATCTTTGTGTTGCTATACAATATGTTCTCAAAGCAAGCTTATGCATTTGAAGCTTTACAGTATTTTTCTTAGATTCAGTTAAACAAAAACATTGTATTTATTTCTATTCTTTGTTCATAAGGATGTTAGTTTTCCTAAGCACATTTTTTTCCCAAAAACTCAAATACATAATAAAGTTACACATTGATATTCTCAAAATTATACTTTGATATTCAAAACACATGATGTTTTTAGCTCCTGTTCAATACCATAGAAATTACTGATTGTAAATTGAAACATACATACATTAAAACCAGATAGACTGATGCAAAATGTTCACCTTGCAAGCATAACATCTTAAGATAGTAGCTAAGTGACTTTCAGATAATGTCAGATACTTTAATCTCTTCTGTGGAGCAAGGCAAATTTAAGGCTACATGAGAACATGTATAAACTTTACAACTTCATATTGTATACAGGCACCAAAGTAGTATGACACATGGAGTAGAAGAACTGTTACTGGAGCCTATTGGTTTTCCTGTTCTCTGCACATCTTTTTGAGAGATCTGAACAAAACTGGGTATTCCTAATCATCTTGCAAAGCAGAAGGACACTTCTAGACATTTGCATACAGTGGATGGCAATGCATTTGGAAACATGATAGCTGAATTTGTCTACCCACTGAGGAGGCCCTAACTTTGGACATAGTGATGTTTTGAAAGACTACTGACCTGTGAGACATCTTTGAAATCAATGGAATTACAATATGTTGCTGTTCAGTGAGAGCAGGTATGGCAGGAATAGTCCTTTATTTTCTTCATTATGCAGTAGTAAGCTATTTAACTTCTGAAGAGTAATCAGTTTTTCAGTCTTCTTTTTTAGGTAAACAGAGTCCATGCATTAACACAGAAAATTAACTCCCTTTCTCTTAAAATTGGGGAAAAGCAAGTGGTGTATTCTTTATACAAAAGTCAACCTAATTTGGATTAAAGGTATCTGTGGGTTTGTGAGAAACTAATATTTTTAGGTTTCCTTGGAGTAGTTGAATTTTGCATGCAATTAATAGTGACCTTGTGAGAATAAAAAGCTAGTGATATGCTGAGTAACTCAGTGTGCTACTTTAGATGTGTGTTTACTTGAATAAATTAATGGTACTTATTTCATCACAAGGTCATCTTATAATTAAGCTTATAAAATGTACTATACAATGAAGTATGTGCACAACCTGCACATTTTTTAGATTCTGATCTTCACCAGCTATTTCTCTGTTGCTCTCTCGTTGTAATACGCTGAAACTGTCCAGTACACCTAATATAAATTGAAAAGCCAACTGTATATATAAAATACAGATACTCTGAGTTAAATTTACATTTAAGAATTATCCAGCATTCTTCAATTCAGAAATCTGATTCAACTGTCAGATACAGTAATGGTGGCATGTTGCTGTTATCAAATTGATGGAACGCGGAAACTTCAGACTCTTTAGTGATAGCGATGCAGATACTTGCTGATTGTATTGTGGGCAAAATCATTTATTTCAGTGTAAATGTCAGTACAGTCTTACACAGTTACATTCTGACTGAAGGTAATCGACAAAGTTTATAAAATGTGATGTGTATGTATATATGTGTCCTCTTAAAGATAGATGTTTTCCCAGATCCTTTTTTATACCAGTTCAAATTTGGAATTTACATTATATACATATACTTTATTGTTCTAAATAAAGATATTATGCACTGCCAAATAATTAGTATATTGCATTGTGTCAATCCCATTTAAGAGCACTTTTTTAAGTCCTGTCATCTCCTTGAATTTTCTGCAAGAACATAAGCTACTAGATGCAGACTCCATCATAATGATTTCATTTCTTAATCATGCATTTTGAAGTCTTATGCCACCTCATTATATGCCACCTTATATGTCCTCATTATCAGCCTTCATTGCTGATCCATAGTTTATTTGTGATTATGAAAATTATTCCAACCTCAGAATTAAAAGTTTCTTGTAGCTTCTTAATGAGCTTAAATTTGTTTGTGCCCTGCTTTAGGCAGTTTTTCACATTCCATTCATGCTATTAGCCACATACTGGGATTTTAATTTACCAATAAAAAGTTTGAACATTGTTGATGCACTTCTTTCACAGTAAGTGGCATTTGCCAACTCACAAATTTATTACAGATAACAGGGGTTTTCAGCAGAGGTTAGAGCTTATCCCATGAAGATAGCATTTGGCCTTTCAGGGTTCAGCAGCTTATTGTGGCTTTTCACTAAGAAGGCCAGGACATGGGATCAAGTTGGGAGGAAAAACAGCTGCTCAGGGAGCTCCGGCGCCTCTGCACTCCTGGAAAAGAATGAAAGGATGCCAGCCTAGGACAAAGAGATAAGGCTGCTAAGGCTTTCAACCTACCTTAGAGAGTGATAAGAAGAAAGAGAGGCAAAGATCCAGTAGGCAGATATAGGAGGGGTTACAAATAGGGGTGAGGTACAGACAGGACGGATGAGAAAGAGCAGAGAGCAGTGTTACTGGGCTGGCTGGGAGTCTGTGGAACAGGATTTAGTTATGGCAAATCATAGAGCATGGATGAGAACTGTAGCTGTTGGTCTAATCGCATCAAGAAACACAGAGCTGATGGGCTTGAAGAGGGTCACAGAGCATTGGAGCTCTGCACTGATGGTGTAGGAAAAGTCATGCCCTTGGGAGCAGCAATGATAGCTCGAGTGGGTTGGAGGTATGATGGACACTGTTCAGCTAGGGCTAGGCAAGCCCCATATAGCTGCAGAGGATGGAAATGAGCATTCTTCGTGTGGAAAGTAGTCTTAACGTGACAAAAAGGAGGTTGACTAGATCCAAAAGTTCAGGAAGGCAGAATTAACAGCAGGGTACCTGGAAACAAGATGTGAGATCTCACTGAAGTCAGTTTAGTAGATCCTGTTGCAAGGGGTAATGGTTTTAAACTAAAAGAGGGTAGGTTCAGACTAGATACAAGGAAGAAATGTTTTCCAGTGAGGGCAGTAAAACACTGGAACGGGTTGCCCAGAAGCATGGTAGATGCCCACATGGAAACATTCAAAGTCAGGCTGGACAAGGCTCTGAACAACTGGTTCTAGTTGAAGATGTCCCTGCTCATTGCAGTGGAGGGTTGCACTAGAGGACTTTTAAAGGTCCCTTCCAACCCAAACTATTCTATGATTCTATGAATTGTACATAGATGGAGTGAAGGGTAAGAGTGAAAGGCTGGGAAAACAGATGTTAACTCTTCAGCCAGAGAGACACCACCACAATATTTTTGGTCCTCTGACTTAGAATTTTTGGTGCCTTACATAATGCAGACTAACTGCTGCCGACCACTGCCATTCAATCTGAACACTGGAAACTTAAATGTGCCAGGGACTGAGAGAAATATTTACCTTCAGTTTTCCAGTTTTAGTGTGTCCAAACTAATGAATATAAGTATCTCATTCACTGGATGAAAATTAAGGCAATCTTTGTCCAAGGCATGGAGGGTATTAATAATAGCACTTTCCTATTTCTGTCATGCAGAAAAACAATGATTATTGTAATACAATACTGGGTTTTTTTTAACAGCTTAACGCTTCTGTGAAATGACACTATTTGTTATTAGCTGTATATATTTCCACTCCACACACACTCCACATTACTCTCCAGTGTATTTTTTATTCCATGTTAACAAATATGCATTACTAAATACACTCTTGCCTGAAGCTTCTAATTGGTAATACATAAGATGCTTCTGGTTTTGGCAAGATGGGTTGTTTCAGGATTTCACACTACATTAACGAATTATAAAACCACTTCCTTTACCACTGCTCATGTAGCCATTGATAAATTTTCTCCTGAAGTTCAAATATTTCTAAATTGGATTAAGTTTCCCAATAACTACACTGAAGCATGTGCTAACGCAATCAAGTTTTG